CAACAGTCTACAAGAAAAAGTTAGCATTGACACCAACCCCAAGACTAACTTTGTTTATGTCAACAGTCTACAAGAAAAAGTTAGCATTGACACCAACCCCAAGACTAACTTTGTTTATGTCAACAGTCTACAAGAAAAAGTTAGCATTGACACCAACCCTAGGACTAACTTTGTTTATGTCAACCGAGGGCTGGGGGTGAATACTGGCGTGGTACACCGCTCTCTCAGGGCCTCATGTCGCATCGTGGACACCAAGAGAATAAGTAAAGGAAGTAAACCGCTCTCACCGGTGTACTCCGGGTAGCATATGCTCAACGGGGATTTGTCTATCTTCTCCGCAAACAGGTCCTTCTTGTTGAGGAACAGAATGATCGAGGTTTCCGTAAACCACTTGTTGTTGCAGATCGAATCGAACAGCCTCATGCTCTCTATCATGCGATTCTGAGGAAGAGGAGAAGAGAGCGTTAATGAACACACGTTAATTATCAAAACTAATTAACTTAGCATCTGAACTTGAAAAAAATCTCTTCAGTTGCTCGTTAAACCCCTGCATTCTGTCGGCTGCCAGGAACCAAACAAAGATTCTCAGACAGATTTGCCGTGACACACGCGTCAATAATTAAAACTTTAGAAGAAACTTAAAATCTTTTATAAATCTCTAGAAACTTATGAATCTTTATAAACTTAGAAATCTGAACTCTTAGGAAGTCTTTAAAACCGAGATTCTCTGAGTCCCACCCCCCCCCCCCACGCTATTGCCGTCGCCGCGTGCAGCAGCGCCACCTACCATCTCCTCGTCTTCGGCGAGGACGAGGTCGTATCCGCTGAGTGCGACGCAGAAGATGATGGCAGTGACGCCCTCAAAGCAGTGGATCCACTTCTTCCTCTCCGACCGCTGGCCGCCGACATCAAACATCCTACACAACAACACAACAACGCAGGGTTAGCCTTTACGTCACCGTAAATAGTTAAAAATTAAAAAAAATATTACCACTTTTTCACGAAATGTAAGTAATTCTGTTCACTTTTTATGGTTAAATTGCTGCATTATACTTCCTATTTTACTACATTGTTCGATGCAAACATACACTCGTGACTCATACATAGCACATAGCAAGCAATTAATGTCAGGATCATAATATCAAATCGTCCAGGTTTTTTGGATTTTTAACTAGTTGAGAAACAATCTCATCAGGTAAGAATTTGACGATACATTTAGTCCCGTTAGTACTTACTTTTAATGTAAAAAAATGGCAACAAAATTTTTCAAATATACACCGTAGAAAATGCGTGACGCAGTCAATGTAACAACGCATAACAAACATACAGCAACGCATGATTACACACAGGTCTACACATACAGACGTATTACATATCTGTGGTCTAAAATGTCACAACTTTTGCAAAACGAACTAACAAAAGTTTTCACTACAACAGTTACGATGTTTCAGACTTGCCACCTCTCCCCTTGCCTCTCCAGAGCTCTTCCCAGCGATGTAAAAGTTTGGCACGTACACGCACGCACGCCATTCCCGCGCGCACACACACTGCACCCACGAGAGAACCCCCGACAGACACACTCACTTGAAGTGAAGTCCCTTGAAGTGGAAGTTGGTTTCTACGATTCCTGTCGTCTTCACACGCGTCCTCAACACATCCTGCTCCGTCGGTACATAGTCCGGCTCCGAGATGCGACCCAGCTCGTTCAGGTAGCTGTAAACAACCCAACGGTCAGGGACATGCGTGCCAGTCTATAAACGCTCGCGGAGTACTAGCGCGACAGAATCATAGACGTCTCGTTGGATCATATTAGATGTAGATCTTTATTAGATTAACACCCAGATGGGCAGCTGTTCGCGGGTCGTTAGCGCGTCGGCGACGAAGGTGAGATGTCGCGCGGACTTGGCGGCCATCATGAGCGGCTGTGGGCGGAGACGTGGCTGTGGCGAAGGAGTGCTTGTCACGATCTATGGCGCGACGTACCAGCTCAAACGACAGTGCCCCCTAGTGGAGTGACGCCTGGGTTTGTTTGTTGTGCGTGAGAGCGCCCCCTGGTGAATGATGTCGAGATGTAGGTTGCGTGAGTGCCCCCTAGTGAGTGATGCGGGGATGTAGGTTGTTGTTTGAGAGCCCCCCTTAGTGAGTGGCGCTGCATTTATTATGTGTGAGAGCACCCCCTAGTGAGTGGCACTGCATTTATTATGTGTGAGAGCACCCCCTAGTGAGTGGCACTGCATTTATTATGTGTGAGAGCACCCCCTAGTGAGTGGCACTGCATTTATTATGTGTGAGAGCACCCCCTAGTGAGTGGCACTGCATTTATTATGTGTGGAGCCCCCCCTAGTGAGTGGCAGCTGACACTTTTATTATGTGTGAGAGCCCCGCCTAGTGACGTGGCAGCTGCATTTATTGATGTGTGAGAGCAGCGCTAGTGAGTGGCAGACTTGGCTTTTTATGTGTGAGAGCCCCCCTAGTAGTGCAGCTGCATTTATTATGTGTGAGAGCACCCCCTAGTGAGTGGCACTGCATTTATTATGTTGAGAGCACCCCCTAGTGAGTGGCACTGCATTTATTAAATTATGTGTGGAGAAGGCTCCCTAGTGAGTTGGCGACTGGCATTTATTATGTGTGAGAGCACCCCCTAATGAGTGATGCTAAGTATACTTAATAATATGCGATAATTAATATATAATATACTATATTAATTAATATATTAAATATAATATTAATCTATATAATATTCTACA